CTTTTTTCCATGCCTCGCATCGTGCATCATATGCCTTGCACTATAGTAAAACTCGTCACCTGTTTGTTAGTTTCGTAACAGGAGAGTCCAGAAAAATGTCTTGCGTAAAGTGTAAACATATACATGTTCCAACTTATGTACTTTTATTGTATCTATCTAGCTTTAATTTTATTTGTTTACATATGCAGAGAAAGCAATAAACAAAAATGAGAAATTATAAGACTTCAAAAGCTTACAGACTGCAGACATATTAAATATATATTCAGTAACAACACGCGAATTGCTATAAATAGCAACGTTACAGTCTAGTAATGATATGATGATTTGTTGTGCTTTTGTTGTAAGTAGGCATTTCACTAAAATATATTGAAAATCCTTCTAAACTATTTTTTATAAAGTATACAAAGCATATACATTGATATCGAAACACAAAATTCAAAGTTTTGAACAATTTGAGCTTCGTGACTCTGGTATAGACGTATGGGCCTAATGATTTAATTGTGTTACATTCCACTGGAAATCACCAAAATGAGCTTTTTTAAAAGTTTCGCGTGAGGCTCCAGGGCAATAACCCAAGCTAGTTTTTATATATAACATGTACTCATGCTATACCATTCCGTGGATGAAATTTAAACAAATTCACGATTATCGCACATAGTAAATTTCCCCTTCAAATCCAGTGACAAAATGCAATTGTAAAATTTGACTAAAAATAGCCAATTTCAACAACGTCTGTCAGGCCAGTTAAAGCCTCCTGGGCCATTCTATATTGATAAAATTGTTCTTTAATACTTGAATTATAGTCATTAAACCATCAAAACTATCTACGGGTAGTTTTGAATCTGTCGCGAAGTGATGAAATTGACCATGGCAACGGCTTTGTCTGCGGCTAATTATAGCCTTCCGGAGACAAATTCTTGATTCCTGATATTTGTACGTTTATCGACCAAATATTGAATATCTAACCCAAACACCATTTATAACTAGGTATTACCTAAATTTGAGCAAAATATGAAAGAAATCTATTTTTCATCTATTGCCACTGTTTGCTCGATTTTTACGGACAGTCGCTCTTAAAAACAAAAAAAAACATGGAATATAACTAGGGTCTAGCCTGAAACACCCACTAATTCAGGCTTAAACTACCATTGCATAATTCGAACGCAATTAAATAATTTAGAAAGTATTTTGGCCGTTTGGCGGGAAATCTTCTTTTATTTGTAGTTAACTTTATTTACTGCTAAAACCGATTAAATTAAGTTCTCTTTAAAAAATGGCTGATTCTGGCGATATTAACAACGCAAAAAAGAAAAGAAGAACCAAAGTATACTCAGAAATATCGCTCTGAGTGGGAATTGAAACCCGAATTTTCGAAATGGCTAAGCGTAAGTAATTCATCGGAAAATTTCGCGTTTTGCAAAGTATGTCGATGTCAAATACAAGCTCGTTTGGTTACAATTCGTTTGCATGGAAAGAGTACCAAGCATACTTCTTTAATGAGTATTATGTCGGGAAGCTCTAAGGTACGTAAATATTACTATAAAAAGTAATATCAGGATTTTTCATTTTTTTTTAATATAGATTATATATACTTAATTCCGGAAGCACGTACAATAATATAAGCAGAATGTTTTGAATAGAGCATTAAGCAGGTTAAACTTTTCATGTTTTATTAGTTATCCAAGTTCTTCACATCAGATAGCAAACTGACTACGGAAACCAAGAAAGCAGAGCTAAAATTTTTTGTGCTTTCTTGGCTGAGCATAATATTCCATTTCTTGGCTGAGCATAATATTCCATTTCTTCCATTTCTTGCAATATAGCATTGATGGATATAAACTTATAAGATTAGACAGGCTCAAGAAAGCTGGAGGTGGTGTATGCGCCTATATCCGAAACTCTCTGAAAGTTAGGGTGCTCCGAGACATCACGAAAACATCCCAGTGCGGTTTCCAGCAGCTTTGGCTAAGCCTTCAACATAAGAAACTAAAGTCACTTGTAATTTGCGTTGCGTATCGTCCACCAGATACACCTGTCTCTTGTCTCAGAAATGAACTGACCGCAGCTTACACCCATGCAGTTATGCTCGGCAAAGATATTTTAGTAGCAGGAGATTTAAATTGCAACTTACTCGTTGACTCCACCGAATCTTGCGCTCTAAGAGACCTGTGTTCAACTCTAAATCTTACGCAGCTGATCTCATCTCCCACAAGAGTAACTGAGACATCGCAAACGCTTATTGATGTTATACTTGCCTCCAATGTAGACCTTGTCAAGAAATCTGACGTTCTTAGCATCACTATTAGCGATCATTTTCTGGTTTACTCTACACTGAACCTGAAAATGCCTCGAACAAAACCAGTCACAATTACAACTCGTAGCTATAAGAACTTTAATGCAGACGCTTTTTGTAACGATATATCAAAGATCCCTTGGGATACCGTCACGGTTTTTGACCACACTGACGATCAGGTCTCCTGTTTCAATAATCTTTTTCAAGATGTTTTAGAACAGCATGCCCCCGTAAAAACGTTTAAATCTAAATATCGCAAATCCAAGGTGATAACTCCTGAGATCAGAGATTTAATGCGTGAACGTGATAGATTGCGAAAACGTGCACATCAAAGATCTAATCCCCGTGACTGGGAGCGTTACAGAGGCCTACGACAAGAGGTTAAATCGAAGATAATGCTGTCAGAAATCCAGTTAGTGAAAGATGAAATCAGTGAGAACAAGAGTAACAAGACATCCATCTGGAAAACTGTCCGACATTGCTTAAACCCATGCGGTAATTCAACCACCGCTTACTCACGCGACTGTACAGAGATTGCCAACGAATTCAATCTGTTCTTTACATCAGTTGGCGAAGCTGCTGCAAAACAAGCCCAGAAATTGGCTATAGACTACGAACTAGAAGCTGTTGCCCCTACCAATTCTATCATTGAGGAATGCGTGGATGGCATTGCCCCGTTTCTGTTCAATTGCGTTACACAGGAACAAGTAAGAAACATCATCATGAATATGCCGACAAACAAGGCTCCGGGGTATGATAAAGTTGGTATGAAAGTTCTCAAGATGTGTCTCCCTTCCATCTTACCTGTAATTACAGACATGTTTAATACATCACTTTCAACTGCATGTTTCCCGAAGGACTGGAAACATGCTGAGGTAGTGGCGCATCTAAAAGAGGGGGACCATGAAGTAGCCGGTAATAATCGTCCCATCTCTCTACTACCAGTAATGTCAAAGGTTTTGGAAAGACTAGCACATGACCAATTTGTTGATTATCTAACAACCAACAACATGCTCTCTGATCACCAGAGTGGAAATAAGAAATGCCATTCAACGGAAACGTTGGGAATCCTGTTCACTAGTCATCTTTACAGGGCTATCGACGAGAAAAAGGTGACAGCCGTTCTTATGTTGGACTTGAGTAAAGCGTTTGATAGCATTGACCATCGGAGATTGCTAGATAAACTACGAAAGTTCAATATTCCTGATCTAACCTTGGCTTGGTTTCAAAGCTACTTAACTGACAGAACACAATGCGTACGTATTCAAAACTCTCTTTCGGATTCTTTACCAATCAAACATGGAGTTCCACAGGGGTCTATCCTGGGACCCCTGTTGTTTAATCTCTACATAAACGACTTACCATCAGTCTGCCAGACTTGCAACGTTGAATCTTATGTAGATGATTCAAAACTTTATATCTCATTTTCGAATAAGGATGTAAATGAAGGCCTTGATAACCTTAGACACGATTTGAATCGAGTTGCTTCATGGTGCTGTGAGAATCATCTTCTTATAAATCCTGGTAAGACAGAGTTCTGTGTGTTTGGCTCTAATAGAATGCTAGCGAAGACAATTATCCCGCCGATAACGTTTCTAGGGAAGGAATTACCTGTCGTTGATTCGGTGAAGGACCTCGGAATGATAATAGACAAACATTTATCATTTAACGATCACACAGACGCTTTAACAAGCGATCTTATGGGCAAGTTAGCAATGATTAGTAGAATTCGTCACCTATTTGACAAATCTACACTTTTCATTGTAATTAACTCGCTTGTTTTTACAAAGTTATTCTACTGCTCCTCGGTATGGTCAGGTACTAGCAAATCAAATCTTGCTAAACTTCAACAAGTGCAAAACTTTGCAGCCCGCCTGTTGTCAGGAAAGAGGAAATATGAACATATTACACCCACCCTCAAAGAGTTAAAACTACTTCCAGTATCCGAGGCTTTTAGACTTAGAGACGGTGTTCAAATGTTTAAGTGCATGAATAATCAAGCACCGAATTACCTGATTAATATGTTTCAAAAAAGATCAGACATTCATAATTATAATACAAGGAACACCAATGACCTGAATCTAGCAAAGTGCCGCACTGCACTGGCTCAGAATTCATTTTGTTATAGAGGCGCGGTGATATGGAACTCATTGCCATCTGAGCTCCGTGATTTAGCCAGCCTGAACTGTTTTAAACGTAGTTTGAGAAGCCATCTTCTTAGAAGTTGGCTTGCTTAATTTTATAGTATATAAATAACTAGTTTATAATATTGTATAATTTCAGATATTTAATCGTGTAAATTAGGTATGAAGATCCTCTCGGGGAACCTAATAAATTTTATTGTATTGTATTGGACCATCTTTCTAAATTAATCTCTGAAACATTCTATGACTCTTGAATTGCCAAAGGCTTCTCGTGCAAACGAACAAAAGCTGCTGCGTTGACGTATAATGTTCTGGCGAAATCATTTAAAACCGAGCTACGAGGACAAATCAAGGCAACCGGGACACTTGGAAGAAAGTTTGTTTCCTTGATTATTGACGAAACGACCGACAAGGGAACAACAAAGTGTATGGCAATTGTCGTGAAATTCTTCAGCGAAACACTACTGAAGGTAGATACTAGATTATTAAATTTAGTACATGTTGACGGCGAAACAGCTGCGGAACTTTTTGAGACAATGGAGAATGACCTACACAAACAATGGTGTCGAACTCAAAGATCTTGTTGGATTTGCTGCTGATACAACGAATGTAATATCTGGCAACAATAACAGCATTGTTACTCGTATCATGGCTGCCAACCGTTCCCATTGCCTGGCAATTAAATGTGCTTGCCATTCTTGTGCTTTAGCTGTCAGTCACGCATGTTCTCTGTTGCCCCGACACCTAGAGCAAGTTGTCAAGGAATGCTACAACTACTTTGCGTATTCAAGTAAGCGATTTCTAGAGTTTAAAGAGTTTCAAGATTTCACCGACTCAAGTCAACACCAAATGCTGAGATTCTACAATGTCAGATGGCTTTCCCTGGGCAGCTGTGTGGAAAGAATCTTCACTCAATGAAGGCCTTGAAGCTGTATTTTGCTGGCCAGTATCTTGTTTATCGCCTGCAAACATCGCAGTTCCTCTACGAACAATTGTCAAATCCTTACACGAAATTGTATTTCACATTCCTTAATTACGTCATTCCACTAGTCACCAAACTGAATATTATTTTCCAGGCAAAGTCTCCATCTGTCCATAAATTCCATTCGCATTGTGTTTCGGCTTACAAGGCTTTATTAAGCTGCTTTGTAAATCCAACCGTTGTCCAAAGCCACGCCACTGTGACCGATCCTTCTGATCCGGCTAACCATCTACCTTTAGCCCAGCTATATCTTGGAGTTGAAGCTGCAATGATGTTGGCGACCGACGAATACAAGGCACTGGATAAAGAAGCTTTGGCAGAATGTTTTAGAAGGTGCAAGCAATTCTACACAGAGCTTTGTTGTCAATTGAAGAAGAGATTGCCACTGGATAACACAGTCGTCAAAGAGCTGAAATTCCTGGATCCCCAGACAGTAGTTTCAGGTTCAATTCGAAGTATTGCCGACGTTGCTTCCAGATTTCCTAATGTTGTTCCTCCAGAGAATCTACAAAGTGTTGACCAGGAGTGGAGAGAATTCATGTACGATGAGGAAATCTCTACTTTGGCTGATCGTTGTTCTACAGTTCCAACGGAAGAATTCTGGGGAAAAGTTCCAACCGACAAGTACCCAAATTTAGCAGCATTCGCAAAGGCTATGTTAACTATACCAGTTAGCAATGCGGATTGTGAACGTGCCTTTTCCCAGGTTAACTTGATCAAAACCAACCAACGAAATAGGTTCTCGACGGAGGGCGTTGCTTCACTGCTTTTTGTCAAAGACGGCGTAAAGAACATGGCTGAATCGTGTGCGACTTTTGAGCCATCTGACGAAATGCTGTCAAATTTTAACAAAGATATATACCACAACGTAGAAGCTGTGTATGGAGAAGAGGCTGACGGGGAAGATTCGGAAGAAGTTGACGCTATGGCTATGCATGCAGATTGACATTTGAATGAGATATACATAACATCTGGGAACAGCGTTAAGTTGCTACCTACGGTATAGTCTGTGTCAGTGTCATGACTTCTTCTCATGACCTAAAATGCATTATAGTGTATCTATAACGAAGGACATTTGTTTTAATGAATTAGCCCGTTAGGTGAGCCACATAGCTGCATATATATCACCTTGGTCCTTGTACGTATTATTCTCAATTAACAGTTTTTATAGCATAGGTGTAGTTGATAATGAACTAAGAGAGTAAAGCTTGTCATTTATATTTCAGACTATACTCATTTATATCGCTAGCTTTTGTAGAATCGTATACGAAAGGTGTTTGAAATGATGCTTATTTGTATATATTGTTTGCTGGTATGATTATCTATTAACAGTTTTTATAGACATAGTCACAACTGATAATGAAATTTGACATTATTTTACAGTATATATAATTTATATTCCTAGCTTTCGTATCAGGAAAGGCGTTAGAAATTATGTTTACATGATTATTTGACGGTTTCGTTATGCTGTCGCCATGAAAAAGGCCAAAAAGTATGTAACATGTGACTACATTGACTGTACACAGCCAGAAATTTCAAAAGGTGGAATTTGCACGTGTTTGGTAAAAAAAAATCTAATTTGGTAAAATTTCAGCACAACGTTTGGTAATAACCGCTGAGAAAGTCTGCTCACACTGATAGTTACCCTGGCTCACAGGCTGGGTATATCTCACTAGATATCCCAGCTGTATATTTTTACCTCTGAGTCACTTTAGTTACCTTGGGTTGGGTATGATATCTGGCTACCCTGGCTGGGTATGACCTCTACCTATCATGGCTGGGTATGATATCTAGTTACCCTGGCTGGGTATTATATCTAGCTATCTGGCTGGGTATGATATCTAGCAACCTTGCGATAGTAACATCAGTGGCGATAGTAACATCAGTGGCGATATACGAACATTTTTTTGTTAAACCTACCAAATGCTGCGAAATATACTATTGTACTGTGCATATAGATAAGTGTTCTTTCTGAAACTAAACACTGTGGTAGACAGTTATATGTAATGGATACTAGATCTTATGCATATATAATGCATCACAAGGCTTGATGTCCACAAGGAATAGTGGTCTTTGTAGTAATTGCCCGGGAAAATTTTGATAGGGTATGATATCTACCTATCCTGGCTGGGTATGATATCTAGTTACCCTGGAAGTTGCCCAATACTCCTTGTATTCAATTGCTTGTATGTAGAAAGTTTCGTTTGAATACAACAAGTAGAAATATTTAATTTTTCAAAATATCTGGTTTTTACTTGCATGCATGTACCACATGCTAAAATTGGGCAATAAGGAGCACCTGTAGCCCGATGCATGTGAAAATCACGCTACAGGGGTAATTTGACCTCTAGAATCGATTTGATGAACTTCCAGTCAAAGCTCTAGTGTAAAATGTAGATATTTTGAGAATACCGAAATAAAAGATGCAAATCTGCAGATAAGCTTGAAAATAACATTCTAAATAGTGTGTTGGATTGTGATTCGAACAAGACTAATACCAAAAAGATACATTGGAAGGGGCCAAAGTTATATCCAGCGAAAGGTATGGCTTAGTGATACATTGTTTACATTGTTCGAGTATATTGTATATAGCTATGGTATGGTTAGTTTACATTGTTCGAGTATGGCTAGTTTATATTTTATGACTATTTTACATTGTTCGATTATATGGTATCTTTCAAGTGGATTTTTTTGGTGGTGTTTTCGTATTTCTACTGCAAATAATTGCAGAGTTCTTTAATATTTAATCTTCCCATCATATGTTATGGAAATCAAGTAATGCGGACGGAATTGAGTTGAATGCCTGTAATGCATGACATCAATTTATATATTGGGTAGAATCTCAAATATTTTCTGAATATTTACGCCTGAAATGTTTATAGATTTGAAAAAAACACTGTCTCGCTCCTTCCTAGCTCTGTATAATGAATATACCGTCTAAATGATATTGGTACTTGATTCAATGCCCATAATGTATAACATCAATTTATTGCGTAGATTTTCAAAGATTTACTCAATATTCATGTCTGAAATGTTTATATATTTGAAAACAACACTGTGTCGTCGCTCCTTCCTAGCATTGTGTAGTGATGTACAGCTTTATAGCATATGCACATTTGTGCTGCTAAACCCCCCGGCTGTTCCTGGGTAAAAATCCTTTATACAACATGAGAAGAGAAGAATGTCATAAGATTCACAATAACGACAATGATTCGTCAAAATTTTTGTGAACTTGGCAAAAGAATATTTAAATAGAAATTGCCTAAATAAACCTTCAAAGCACTAAGTACAATAAATCACTACAAAATAAATCGTATACACCCCCGGAAAGTTTACACTATGACCGACTTGTTTAAATTTTTGCAACTAATCACAACACTGTAAAGTTTCTAAGAAACTTTGGAATAAAAAGAAAGAAACATTACAAAAACTTAAAAATCAGTTGTTTGCTGTAAAAAGTTTGGAAAATCTACCAACACATAAAATTGAACAAAGAATGCTGAGAGAAAACCAACCTGATTATGTTGTTGGAGACTTGAAGAACTAGTCATTACTGCATTGAAGGTTAGGGCAAACGTAATTTCCTTGACAAAATTCTGGAAAGGTTACTGTGGTGGTATTCAAAGTTACTTCCTCTACCAAAGTTTACATGCTAAAACTGTGCATGGCCTCGATCGCATATTAGGTTTAATCAATCTTTTATGACAGAACAACTATGCAGATACAGTGTATTATTTATAATTTATTCAGCATATATTTCCTCAGCGATTTTACTAAGTTTCTTCCCATTAACGATATTAATGAGGCTGTTTATATGTTTACTATGTACTATTTAAAACATGAGTAGGAGTGTTTTATCAGATATAAACCCTAGGCGTAGCTACGTACCTGCCGACGGGAATTGCTTTTTCAACGCTCACTACAATTTGCCATTGTGGTGAACATTTCCCTGGTAACAGAGTTGTGAGTGCAAACCTGCATTGAGATGGTAGATTGTGTTAAGAGCATACAAATTGTGCAGTGAATGGCAAATTTTTGTCTGTGTGGACATTAAGTGCAGCATCAATGATGTTAAATACAACGATTGTGTCTGTTTTTCCACCGATTAATGCTCTCATGGATAAAACAATCTCCATTTTAAACACCACATTTGCCCCCAAAAAGGGTTCACACAGAGCACCAATTGTAGTTATGTGGAGTAGTGTGACACCACCATTCTTTGGCAACATGGACACTGACCAGTTGACTTGCATTCTCCAAGCAAGGAAACATATGTAGCTGCCACACATCATCTAGGAAAGGTTTTCATTCTTTCTACTAAATTTATGCTGAAAATGATAGTGTAGTTGATATTCTATTTGAAAACAACACTGTGTCGTCGCTCCTTCCTTCCTTAATAGCGAACTACTCAGATTAATGAGGTCACACAACCAAACTCATAAAAAAGCAGTAAAGTCTGGTTTAACTAGTGATTGGGGTGACTGCAGACACCTCAGGAGCAAAGTGACTAGTGTAAACAGGAAGGCCAGAAGCAACTACTTTGCAGCAAAGCTCAAAGAGAACCGTAGTAACTCTCAAGGGTTTTGGAATACACCTCGTATTGTGTGACCATCTAAAAGTAATCAGAGTGAAATTGATAAGCTTGTCGTAGGAGATAAAGAGTTAACTGACAAGAAAGATATAGCGAATTCTCTCAATGAGTTTTTTTACGACCACAGCATCCACACTGCCCGCAAGTCGACCATCTCCTGACCTTGAATCACTGAACAAATTGAAAACCTACTAGAACGTTAGAATATCAAGCGTTATGTGAAGCGGACGTGCTGAAGGCCCTGCAAAATCTTGATTCATGTAAAGCAACCGGCGCAGATAATATATCTGCCAAAGCTCTGAAGATTGTCATGCCTTACATCAGCAATGTCATAACCAACATCTTCAATACGTCATATACGAATGGGCAATATCCTTCAGAGATAGAGAGCTTATTAATAGAGAGCTTATTAAAGCTTCGTGTAAAAAGTACGGTTTCTGTGTGTCATATTTTCTTTCATATAACACAGGAATATTTAAGCATTCTAGTTTTAAAATAACAAGCCTATTTTTATATTACTCTTTATTAATTGATTTATAGCATAAAATTTCTCTTTGCCTGACGTTTGTTGTGGACCGTGAAGCTTAAGCTCTCTATTACTATAGATACCAAGTTTGGCATCAAGCAGCCCCCATGCATTAGGAAATGAAGGATGAAGGTATAACTTTTCACATTAAAGAGCTACAATCACTTTCAAAAGTTGTTGGGACACATGCAGTTTTAAGACGTAAATCAATCTATACAGTTTGTTACACACAATACCGCCCCCTCCCCAATCAATGTTGTTTTCTCGATTTGAATACCAACACTCATTAAACTCGATGAACAATGGCACACAACATTGAATAGGGGCGGGGGATCGACATTTGTTAAAATTAAAGGGTTTTGTTGCATCTGTCCCAACACATTTGAAACGGATTATCTGAACCCCATATCCCATAACATTTTACATATCTAAAAAATATAGGTACAGAATGCTGTTAGAACATAGTATTTTAGCTCCATTTTAAAGCATAATTAAGATATCTAATATAACATTTTTAAAACAATGACACTTCTTTGAAATTAAGAAAGTTAATAATTAACAGAATATGAGCATATATTTTATTTTGTTTGTTTTTACAAATCTTGCTTGAGTACAAATGGGTTATTTGAGATGTTATAATTTTATAGTCTGTGTCAGATATATCATACTATCACAATTCTACATGTCTGCCAGAAAAAAAGATTGTTCCTACTACAAAAAGGCAACCCTAATGTCATTGCGAGCTGCGTTGGATCGCCATCTTCGCTCACCACCACATAACAAAAAATTCTCAATTTGTGACCCAGTCGCCTTTCAAGAAGCAAATAAAACATTGCATTCCTACCTGAAACACCTCATGGGCACTGGAAAAATTGCTGGAACTGTCCACAAAAATCCCTTGACACCTGAAGTGGTATAACTCCTTTTTGAGAAAGGCGAACTTGCTTGCGCTGAAACCTGTGATCCTCGCTGTTTAATGCAAACAGTTTGGTTCTACATTTCTTTGTATTTTGGCAAACGAGGTCAGGAAAACCAGAGGGCAATGAAGAAATCGATGCTACATCTTTGTACAACAGGTACTGGAGAAGAGGACTTTGAGCTCAATAAAGATGAACCCGGGATGATGCTTTCAAGCAAAAATCACATTGGTGGTCTCGAAGGCACAGAAGACCACTCGGACGGGAAGGTCTTTGCTCTCACAAAATCGCCAAGATGTCCAGTAAATACCATCAAAGCGTATTTAAGTCACCTAAATCACGACATTGCTGTGCTGTTCCAGCGACCAAGACATCCTTCTTCCAGATTCAACCCAAACAAAGCCATAGTTTGGTATGAGAAAAACGTACTCGGCCATAACATGCTCAACAACATGATGCGAAATATGTCACAAAGAGCTGGAATATCGCCTTACTATACCAATCATTCGCTGCGAGCCACCACCGTTACTGTTTTATCATCCAACAACGTTGAAACACAAAAGATTAAAGCTGTAACTGGTCACAGAAGCGATACAATTCTAAGCCAGTTTAAGCAGATGTCATCAACGCTGAGTTAGTTTGTTCATGGCGAAGAAAATACAGCAGCCACTTCATCTTTGACAATCATCCCAACTCCAGTTGCCTCTCGTCAACCTCCAGTAGAAAGCAGTAGTCGCAAACAGTACTGTAACCTTTGGCAGAAATGAGGCAAATATCCTTCAAGACATGGTGTGAGGTGTCCTGAATCAGTTCTTCCATCTGGTACTTTCCAGGGATGTTCATTCACATTTAACATCGATATGAACAACACAGAACTTTTCTTGAACGTTTTACATTGTTAGATTTTTATTATGCATGATCCTTGTTGTAAATATAAAACTTTTTCAGCGTCTTAGCCTCATTGTTGTTGTGAAATGTCAAACGAACTTGCCAAACTGCTTTAGAATTATTGTTTATTGTATTTTAATTTCACATCCCTTAAAAGCCTTTTCAGCGAAATTTTACATAATTGATCTAAATTTTTATACAGCATAATAATAGAGAGACACACATAACAACACACAGTCGCACAACACACACACACACTGTCACACACACACACACACACACACACACACACACACACACTCACTTGGTATTACTACATAAATATATATGCTATTTACATCAAAATTTCTTAAGATTGGTCCTAAATTTAAATGATTCTACAAGTCTCTGTTTTAAAATACGTTTGAAGTCTTTCGTTGTTTCGCAGGCCCTAAGTTCTGGTTTTAAGGAATTCCAAATTGTGGCCATTCTGAATTTGAAGGATCGTTGCCCAGTTGCTGTTCTGGGTAAAGGAGTTTCAATCATGCTCGAGTTCCTAGTAACGCGAGATGAAATGTCACCTCGTCTCACAAACTGTTCAGTTAGGTATGCAGGTGCGTTTCCTGTCATGCATTTAAATGCCATGACTGCATCACGAAAATATAAATACTGTCGAACTGGAAGCCACTTTAGTTCTTGCAGGATTGGTGTGACATGATCGTATTTGCCAACTCCACTAACTATTCAGATCATGTGTCATGTGATCGATCATTACGTTTTTAAGAAGGAAGTAAATTATATTCATAACGGAAGTGCATAACGGCGCGGTAAATATTCACCGATAATCATCTCTACTTCGGTAATAATTGTTAAATGTTTTTCAATAAACTTTAGTTGTTGAAAGTAATAGTGGTGCCTAGGCACTTTTTAGTTTTTACCTTCATAGTGCCTCATCACATCTTGTGCACATTGCTTTGCAATGTCCTCCTGGCACTTTGATTCTAGGACATTAAACTCATCTTGAGTTAGGCTGCAGACTTGTTCCTGATTCATTCCCTCAAAAATAGGCACATTTGGTATAGAAATAGACCTTCCATCACCTGTTGCCTCATTCAAACTTCGAATCACTTGCTCAGCAATATGTGAGTGTGAATCATTTGGGGCATAGTGAAGGCAGGCCTGTAAATGAAGGTTGAAAACTTGAAAATATTCTGCTATTCTGATTTGCACAAGTTTGTCATGGCAGGAAACACCTGGTCCAGCATCACTTGATTGTATGTCAATGGGCCTATTGAATGGAAAAAATAGTTTCAGTTTTCACTAAACCAAGCACTTAATATATTAAAAGAGAGGATTAGAAAATCAGTATATAAGACCAATGTTATAGCGGTATTAAAATACACTATTTCCAATGGTGCAGAATAAATAGTTGAAATAGGGTCAAATATTAAGCCTTACCGGTGTTGATGTAGATTGAGTGACTCAATATATTTATTTATTTCATTCACCTTGTACATAATTGCAGTGGCAGGTAATCTCCAACAGCGTTTGCCAATTACTGCGGGCCCGAATAAATAAATTACAATACATATATTAACTCTTTCTCAGCCGGCTACATTTTTCACGACAAGCGACATTTTGATTCAATTGTTTTATAACGTAAATATTTCAGCGCGTATTCACCCCCCTTTAAAACAAAGAACTCCATTGAAATCCTAACAAAATAACCTTTTCATCGGGGGGTTCAATGCCGTCAAAACAAATACACAAACCGAAACAATCGTATATTTACTCACCGCTTGGCCACAGAGTAGATACTGGACAGAGGTGTAACTGTATTACGAAACGCTAATGTTTGAGTGTAACCAAAAGCTTAGCCAGTGCGCTAAGGAGAGGCATTCACCCCCCCGAAAACTTACAAAATGGCGGGCATTTTTTACTAAAAAGATCACAAAAAATTGTTTCGAAATCAAGGATATTGTTTGAAATCTCGCTGATTTTTGTTGAATTATTTTTATTTTCAAGTTTGCCTATGGGAAGAGGTAAATCTGGGAGAGATTTGCAGTTTCTTTTTCTTTTTTTTTCAACAAAATTGTTTTCATATGAGCGGGAATTGTAAATATTTTGCCATATTTTGGTTTATGGGCTTAGCCTGCTTGGCTAGTTTAGCTTTAATATACCTGTAAATTTGTGTAAACTTTGCTTGACAAAGAATTTGGTTGACAAACGGCAAAAGTTTTCTATCTTAAGGTACGGTGTGAATCTTTTGACTATTATTAAAAAACTTAACAATAACACACATTCATGCTATTTTTTGCTATTTGTCTGATAGTCAGGAATTAAGAGTGCAGGGGGTTACATTAGCAATTGTCATGTGAATTCAGAATATAGTTAATGACTTAATCTGTTTTTACAACTTTTTACTGATATTTTACAGTTGTATACTTGTATGTACTGTAGTTCACAGTGTTCACTAAGTTCAGTAGTTCCATTTATAAGCATTCAGCTCAATCAGCTGTGTCTGTGATTTATATATTTTGTTGCTATTTTGGCTGTAGTAACACTGTTGTTTGTGAATGCTAATAATAATTGGAATTTAACAGATGCTTAGTTTATTTTATTGTATGTATGAAATAATATAGTGATATTCTTTTCCAAAATAATTTCTATATGCACCAATCATGTTAAGCATGCACCTAGATGGGAGGACAGGTACCCATGGCTTTGTAATAGACTAATCAAGTAATAAGTAATGCCTGCCCAAGACACAGCATTTTTGACAATTTTTCCCATTTGTAGACTGGGCAAGTTATGATGAAGAAGCAAACGATGATTGGCAAATTTGATAAAAACCCAAATATTTTTCAGTGTTCAGTATTTAAGTAGTGATTTTGGGTGAAGACCTTCAAAACATCCTGGAGTTTCCAAAAATAATGTTTTTCATTGGCTCCCCTGGAAATATTTTCCTTTGATTTTTGAACCAGCTCCCTGGAAATCCATAATACAGTTTTTAAGCCAAATATTTGGGTGACATTCCTTTGAAATGGATTTTGATGTTCCTCTTTAAGAAGTTCCAAGGTCTTCACCCCTGGGTGTATTGATTAAAAATGCTAGCAAGATTGTTGGTCAACCTTTTATTTTTGTACTCAAAATTTTCCCCATGTGCACATAGGCATACCAGATAACTTCAGCCTGTACATGCATGGGTTGAGGGCGAATTAATGGTTGAATAAACATTGGGCATTTTCACTGACACTGTTAAAATTCTTGAGCCATATGCACCATAGAAGGAACTAATAATGTGTGAGTGTGACAATTTCACTTCCCCTGGAAGTACTGTAGAAGTGAGGCTATAAGCCAGAGTGTGAGAGGTGAATCTATAGATTCAGGTTTTTGTTTCCTGTAATGTAGGTAATAATAAGCCATTGGATTCTACATCAGCTGCATGTAAAGGCCCTCGTGAAGAATTTTTCCAGGCCCCCAACTGTTTACCTCCAGTTTTTTCAGCATAGATTATCCTACATGTATCAGTGTTAAGCCCCAGAGTGTCAGACAAATAATGGTAAAATATGAACATTTGATAAATGTGGATATATTGAAAAGACTGAAAAATACATTGTTTACATCAATTGTTTGAATGTTATATTTTTCTTTGATTTCTACAAATCAATGTTATCTGCTGTTATAAATCATATTCTATTTTTGCCTCCTCTGCAGGCAACTCTGTATTGTTTTGTATAACAGGTTTTCAACTGTTATTTGTTTTGTAATGTAAATGCATTTTGTAAATGATCAAACTTTGGTCGAGCTTCAAGCAAAACAGTGTTAGGCCTGGGGAGAGCAAAACATGGGAGGAAAAAATCCCAAAATATAAAACCTATTATACAAAACAATACAGAGTTGCCTGTGGAAGAGGCTAATTCTACTTAATACTAGTTTACCCACAGGGTAGTGAATGCTGCCTTGGTATAGCATTGTTCCCAAATCATTAATATTTTAAAGAATAAGAGTAAGAAATATTTGTAATCACCATTCTCCAATTAACCAAAATTTTGATCTCAACATGTCTGTACTTAAATATTAACCCAGAACTCTCCCCTTGACAACTAAAATTATCTGGCATTACACAGAAAATAATAAAGTAGGGTGCAATGTGACTCAATGGGTTAACTACAATCTTGGCCAAAAGTTCATAGAACGACAAAACAAATTCGCAACTTTTTAATATATTGGGTTTTAAAATAATTTTGCACCTCCCCCCGCTCCCCCCATTCAATGTTGCTCTCCCACATTTCTAGTACACGTACAATTTTGTTGTAGAGTAGGTCAGATCATAAATATACATGAAACGGCAACATTGAATGGGGGGAAGGGGGGAGGCCTTAAAAATGCATAAAAATTTATCGTCGTCCTACGGTTTATGGCCAAGATTGTCTGAAAATTGCGACATGTTCATTTCCACGAAAAATGCATTTAACCTTGTACAAGGCACTTGTGCTAATTTATTCTGCATGAAAATATCAAATATGATTGTTATATGTGTTGGCGCCGTGTACTATTTACGTCTTTAGTTAAGGTGGCTCTGCTAAGCTGCTCAAGTTATACTTGCTTTCAGGTTACGTATAAGACAATCATGGTCTTACTCTAGTAGAAGTTCGGTACAATCAAACTATCAAAGTTCAATCGCTTTTTTATAAATAGGACCATACTCCTATGAAATATCTGTTTTTAAATATATATTTCAGTTGTTCATAAAAGAAGGCAATCTATACGATATTATATTGAAATTAAGCCAATGTGTTTAGATAATTGAGAATTATTTGCGCAAGTAATGTAAACAAGAGAAATTTTCTACTTCATTTTACATAACAAAGAGTAATTGCAAGAGCTTATTGCGATATAATAATGCGCTGCAAATCAATATGTAATTGTTATACGTGGGGGCCGCCGGGCTTTCTGTATGGTGACACTCCGTACTCAGTGACAGTATATACTCAATGAAACAAGAGCTAAGCGAACATATATGAATTTGGCAAGTAATGTAAACAAGGGAAATTTTCTCCTTCATTTTACATCAGAAAGAGTAATTGCAAGAGCTTATATTGCGATATAATAATACGCTGCAAATCAATATGTAATTGTTAGAAGCGCGGGCCGCCGGCCTTTCTGTATCGTGACACTCAGTACTCAGTGACAGTACTCAAAGAAACAAGAGCTAAGCGAACATATATGATTTCACTGTCTGAAATAAAATGTTTTTAAATGTTGGCATAAGTGTCGCAATTCTGTTTGTTGGTATTTTGTAGGAAAATTGAGCCTTTGGAAAGGACAATCACAGTACTCGCCATAACATGAGTTAAGACAATGTCTATATCTCATTATTAAGTTTGGAGGTTTTAATGAGTAATGTCAATTATCGCTTCAAATCTACAATTTGTTTTACCTATTTACCATGAGATTGTAAGGACAGTAACAATGAACAAAATGTTGTGTATATTTTATGTATTTATTCACAATCCGACGAAAAATTAAGCAATTACTGTGAGTACTGTTCATGAGTACTGTCAGTTAGTTATTAAGGTACTAGAGTTCATTTATATGTATATATAGATTAATATTTTGTCCGATACGGCACCAGACTTAATTATTTGGTCAACATCACATCATAAGGACGACCCAATGTTCAATTGTAAAGCCTGACACGGTCTATGCATGCATGCCTCTACAATGGCATCAGCAAAGCTCTTTTTGGAAGAAATTTCTGAGTGTCCGCTCTGCTGTACGTGGCTATAAACACGATTCGTTGTTGCGCACGCGATATATTCCTCATATCTACTGATTATGATATGTTGGATCTTACACAGCAAGATTAACTAAAAATTCTATTTGTCAATTGGCGTGTGTAGCTTTAACTGAAAATATGTACACTAAAATATATCTATAATTACGTTGTATCAATCTGCCTTTATAACCAGTAATAACAGTAATGACTGTCCGGTTCAAAATAGACATATATGCTATTTGAAGAGAAGATTAAGGCCCTACCCAGAAATCCGGTCTCAAATTACCGTATACAATATTTATTAATATCTACCTATCATTCAATATTTAGGAATACCAGAATGACTTTTGAAGTGTTATCCAGTACTACAAGAACATAAGTACATTTTTGAATATTT